CGGTCTTCGAAGAGATTCACGTAGACGAAGTGCTGTATATCGTTGTGTTTGGTGAATCTTTACTAAATGATGCTGTGACCGTGGTCTTGTATCACATGTTTGAGGCTTATACGTAAGTGTTTTTGACAAATTTATTTATCCTCGTAAAAATATAACAGCAATTATAAAAACAAATAACTTTAAAGAATAATTCAATAGACGCGCCAAGAGAAACAGAAAAAACTTAATTAAAAAATGTACTTCATAGTTATACGAGCATTATTTTAAGAATGAAATTACGAGTGTGCTTATTACTTAAAATTGTGAAAGGTTTTAGACTAGAGAATATAAAAAATATTTTAATCTCTTTAGAGAAATGGGTCCATCGCGGTTGATGTACACTGATTTCCTGGCGGGTTTTGCGTCGTTCCTGGTGGTGGCACTAGGTGGCACCTGCATCGGGGTCGTGTGGGGCTTCGCCACCGGCCTAGTGACACGCTTTACGCATGAAGTTAGGGTCATCGAGCCCATTTTCATCTTCGTGATGGCATACCTTGCCTACCTGAATGCGGAAATGTTCCATATGAGTGGGATTTTAGCGTGAGTAATTTTTACATCGAGATGTGAACTTATGAGAATTAACTTGTGAGACTGCTTTTATTGAACTGTTAAAATATATTTCAGTATAACATTTTGCGGTATAACAATGAAGAATTATGTGGAAGCGAATATATCCCATAAATCTCACACGACTATAAAGTACACAATGAAAATGCTTTCGTCATCGTCCGAGACCATCATATTTATGTTCCTTGGCGTGGCTACGGTCAATAACAACCACGACTGGAACACGTGGTTCGTTCTGTTGACCATCGTATTTTGCTCAGTATTTCGTATTATAGGTAAGTTTTTCAAGCAAGATATCGTCTCTGGACACGATTAAAAAATATTTTCGTTTTACTAAAGATTTTACATTTTCAGGTGTCTATATATTTAGTGCTGTAGCAAATAAATTTCGATTACACAAATTAAACACTGTTGAGAAATTTGTTATGTCTTACGGAGGTATGTATTTATTTATTCACGTTCACTCTATTCAAATATTTATTGTAAAATCGCAAGCAGAAGTTGAAAGTATTTTTTTGTCTTTTCAGGCCTTCGAGGAGCAGTTGCATTTGCATTGGTGCTATTGATAGATCCAGAAGTTGTACAACTGCAACCGATGTTTGTGACAACAACCATAGCTGTGATATACTTCACTGTGTTCATACAAGGCATCACCATAAAGCCATTGGTAAAGATACTGAACGTAAAAACGGCAGAAAAGAGGAAACCGACAATGAACGAAAGAATACACGAACGAGTAAGACCAGATTCAATAAAACGATACAGAAAGAAGTTCTGAATAATGATTGTATTTTCTTTTTTTATTGCAGTTTATGGACCATTTGATGGCGGGTATTGAAGACATTTTAGGAAAACATGGAAACCATCATATGAGGGATAAATTTAAGAGATTTGATAACCGATTCATCCGACCATTCCTTTTGAGGAATTATCAGGTTAGCGTTAATTTTCTTTTATTGTATTATTATTTGTTTAAGCTAGAAATTAAAATGCATCACAGATATTCTATAATCTTTATTGCTAGGGTGCGGAGCCTAAAATTTTGGAAACCTACTCAAAGCTAGCAATGAGAGATGCGATTGAATATATGCAGAGAAATGCTTCGACAATCGGAAACATATCTGGTGCAGAGTCAATGTCAGCTATTTTCAAAAATTATACGAACGCTAATTTCAATGGAAGGTAAGAAAATACATCGATATTTTTCAATATTAATAAAATAAAGAATGTACTAAGAAAAAGACTAGAGAATCAGCTTTGTTCTATCCTAGCTTATTATTGTAATCTGTTACAGTCCCAGCTTCAGCCAATTAGACTCGTCTACATGGAATATAGATATGCAAGAATTGGAATACAATCCGTCCAAGAAAGATTTGACAGATGCTAGGATTCATCATTTACTTGCCGAGGAACTCTGCAAGCCTTACAGAAGGGTAAGTGTAGAGCTGACACCACAAGTTACCATTTTATTTAAAATGTTTAAGTAACGATAATTGTTGGTTCTATTGATTATTTCTCAAGCACTCGCCAAATAAATGTTGTCAAAATAAATACACTTTAAAGTGGATATTTCAGTAAAATTGTTGAATTTTCCATTTACAGCATCGTCGCTTGAGCTACAGCAGACATGCAGTTAATGATCGTGATCTCGGCACACAAGTAAATTATAAAACACACATGAATATAAGAAGATTGGTTGGTGATAGAAAGCATCATCACAAACGCAGCAAACGAGGAAAACAGGTAAGTAAACTATAAGTATCCGGCTCGAGGGACCATATTTTAGGATCGGTTAACAATGTTACTGGTATTAAAATTAGTTTGTAACTATAATTTTAAGAGAGATAAAAGTGACTTTTTTTTCAGGATGGCAAAAACCATGTGACTTTCCCAGAATTCCAGCAAAATGGTTCAGCCAAACAGTTCACGCACGGTAAAAAAAAGTATTATAGATTAGGTACTTAATTTATTTCTATTTTAATATCACGAGTGTCACGCATGCACGTGTGGGTTCAAGTATTATTTTTATTATTTTATTTTTCTCTAAGTTAAGTTCTTTTTTTGCTGAAATTCACAGCTTTTTAAGGTAAAATTGATAGAAAGCCTTCACTTCTTATTTTATTTCGTTTCGTTATTTTTTTATTATTAAATGTAAGCAACGCATAAAATTATTATTTTGCGACATTTGATGTTTTGCATGTTCATCCATAAAATATCGTATAATGAAATTCTATGAACAATATTAAGTAATTTTTGATGGATGACTGATATTTTTATCAATAAATCAGACACTCAAGTGGCGAAGGGTTTCAATGTTTACGAAACAATTAATACTTGAAACATATTCTCGATGCATTGTTTGCAAGCAATACAAATTAATCATGAATCCAATACAGTTATTCTATTTAATATTTAAAGCGCGCACATCTGAAACTAAACTATCGCACAACTGTTTAGTCGCGCTTTGAATGCGAAACAATCGACAATAACACAACTCTTGTGCGACATTTTAGTAAAAGGTGTGCCCGCTCTTAAGTGATTTGAATTCATGACCAAAAAAACTAAAAGAACGTTGATAGATGTATTGTAGAACTCATTCAACTTGCATATAACTCTATACGTGCTATCTTGGTTGTAGATTACATAGACGAAGTGCTACAGGAGGATGAAGACCGGGAGCCACATCGGGAAGAAACCGACGGCGGTATTACTTTTACTGCCAAATCCCCGCGTAGGTATTCTGCATGGACCAGTCATGTCCCACCCTGTGTTTGTACTTCAATACCATATTACTATCCCAAAGGAAAAATTAAGGAGTGAAAAATGGTTTAATAAAATTTAACCAAAATTTTGTAATTGGGATTAGCTAAATTTCATTTGAACGCGATAAATAGATGTTAAATTTGATTTAAATATAATTCAATAGTCATTGCGTAGAGTTAGACTTTGTACCAAAACCAGAAAGTTTTGACGAAATGTATAAGGTTGATTCTTTACTTTAAATAACCAATTATCGTGATTACATAAACAGAGTATTGAAGTACAAATACTATTCTGTGTTGTGATCAAAAGTGTGTTTATTCATTTTATTTTATAATTTATAAAGAACACTGATATATGACTAATATAATGGAAGCTTACAAGTAATTGGTACGTATCAATATCATTTCATTTGCTGGGCCAGTTTTAATTTCAGTTACTGACATGGCTACGTCACTGTGAATGTTGAAAGCGTTTGTTCTAGCATGTTCCTATTCCTTTAACTGGGTAAAACATTATTCTTTTTAATACTATTGAAGTTTCTAATAGTTGTACCATTATGATTTTTGTTGCTTCCCTATTTCTTGGAAATTTTAGTCTACGGTCTCAATAAAAAAAACGTTGCTAACTTTTCCATTACTTTTAATTTGATCTCGGGCTACGAAATACAAAACCATCGCTTGAGATGTTTATTTACTTTAATTTCATCTGTCTTCATTTTCCTATCTGTCATCTTGCTCTTCATTTCTGCTTGTTTAATATGTTTGATGGTCGTTTTCTTTCCTTCCTGCAAACTCGATGCGGCATCGCAAAACTAAACGATAACGGCGATGTCGAATAGCTGGATATAAAGAAGTCAGCCCAACGTCCTCGCACAAAGAGAACAGTAGTTCGCTCCTAAATCAGTTGGCTAACCTGCCCGGGTTCAATCCATTGAAAGCGAGGATCGTAAAGCAATACGCTAAAACGCCAGAAGAGATACTGCCGACTGCCGTTGAAAAATCATTACCGTGGCGAAGGGACAGGTCCACGTACAACTTCGGTATGTGTTTACTAAACTGAACGTCTATCCATTCGCTTCTGATGGCCAAAGTTTTAGTTTTAGCTTTTTGCTCTTAACTGTGTATTTATGGCGCTTTTTAAGCATACGGTTTTGGTCATCCGATAAATAACGATCAGTGAAAATTGCACGTTACGGAACTAACATCGTCGTTTTTGGTAAGCATAACTTCTAAGCTTGTTAGCGTGTAACATGAGTAGAATTTTATCTAGTTAAAACTAAGCTGGAGATAGCCATTATTTAGCAAAATTACCGATGAAAATGCAAATATCGAACTGTAATAAAAATGCAATAACTACGCAAATACTAGTTTAACTATAGTAATATTTCTAAAAATGCTCAATAGTGGTTATCTTAAGTTTAATTAAAATCTCACTATTGTATAAAGCATGTAAAATGTCAACAGTAAAATTATATTACTATAAATATAAGGAATTTTTGCTGTAATAATTTTACATTTATGCATCATTTTGAAGCATATTATGCTAATTAAAATGCAAATCATAAGATTAATTGCGTAACATAATTTATCATTTCCTAGTCAAAGTAAATATATAATAATAAATATAAGGGACTTCTAATTATGCCGAAAAAATTCTTTAAAAATGTAAATAGTATACTTTTGTTTTTAATTCTCTCTAGAATTTTTTTCAAACGGTTGCAATAAATATGTTCTTTAATTTTAGTACCAAACGAGGATATACTAGAAGAGGATGAGAGAAGGATGTCGGACGACAACGGTAAGACTTTTATCCTAATTTAAGACATGGTTCTTCAGACCTTGTTTTTATATCCCTGTCCTTGAGTACTCTGGCTGACAACGTACCCATTTCCACATTTAATTATTTAGTTTCTTGACTAACTGTTGCTCTATCATAAAAGTAGCCCGCGTGAAATTAAAAAATAATTAAAATATAGCCTGTGTTACTGACTGATAACGCAGCTTTTTAATGGTGAAAGAATTTTCCAAATCGACTCAATTGTTTTTTGTTATTTCAATATGTATTTTTGCTCTTCATAATATTAGTATATATTTTAACATATAACTGTTATAATACAGTGTCAATAATTTCTCTTCCCCAACTTTATAACACATTGTCAAATAGAAATTGGTAAATTTGATTTAAAAGTATGAAAGCTTACACTATTTGTTGCCCTTACTGCAGATACTTATATGACAGTGGCGGAGCAGGCTCGTGTCGCCACACCAACGGCGACGGAGACCATGTTGCCATGGAAACGGGAGGAGACAGAAGGATCAGGCGCTCTCAAGCAATCAGAGTTCCCCTCCTGGGCATCGAATAAAGAATACTTAGCGTATAGTTCCCCATCAGCTACTTTCTTAGGTAACCAGCCTGTTTAAAAGTAACTCTGGTGTGTGCTTTTTAATAGATGTGAATTGTGACAGATTACAATCATTTTCATTCATTCTTTAGCATGATATCATTATGTTCTCGATCATGAACCTTGTACAAATAAATTGTAGTATATTGTAACATTGATTAGATGTTACCGATATTTAAACTGGATATAATCCAGAAAGAAAATAATCCTAGTGGGATCATGTGACGTAAATATAACCTCAAAAAAGATCTTGCAGATAACCTCAGAAAAGCAGACAATATGTTAAATTGTTAACACATGTCTTTGGACAAGAGTTTTAATCGTAAGTCATAAATAGTTATACCTTTTTGAGATGTTCCATTTAATCCAGTTAATTTTCTCTGTGCCTCCAACCTCATATCACTCATGTTTGTTTTTTTATTTTTTTTCTCACCTGATCATTAAACCATTAATCACTTATGTTTTTTTTTTTGTTTAAAATAGTGTTACTTTTCTCAGTATTCTTTTTCACTCACAAGATATGCGATATAAGCAAAAAACAAATGAAAAGAGATGCAAGAAATTCGGTTGCGGATTATTTTATGTACCAATAAAAAACAAATGGCGAAAAATTGAAATTAACGTTACCGTAGAAAATGATTTACGACCGACTTTTTTGAATTCCTTTTAAGGCATTTTTTATAATTGTTACGTTATTACATATTATATTTTTTTAAATAATAATTTGCAATTGCACTTTTTATTTACCGCTACTATTTACAGTTATTTTTTACGTTAATTATAAATGACTCACCCGTTTTTTTTTTCTTTTTCCCCTTACCCTTTTATAATCTACAAGGTGGTATAGAGAAGCCAAAACATCCAAAATCTATCATAGGTCTATTCCGAAGAGAGAGCTCAAGTTCTACACAGGGGGCGCCTGAGTTGCTGTCAGGGTCAGAGACTGAAGGGAATAAGACGGATGGCAGTAAAGGCGACTCTGTGAAGGGAGAAGTAACTTCCAGAACTGGACCGAATTTGTTGTCGAAAAGAAGCACAAGCTTAGGCGGTCCTTCTGTTCTTCTAATGGAGGATGTGGCACACTCTGATCCACTCGGCGCTTCGAGTAGACCAGCGAGCATCATGCAGGGACCGCATAGGGGACAGTGTAGGAGAGGATCTATGCTGGAATTGACTGGGTAAGCGGTTTGATAACGGTTTCGTTGTTAATAAGATGTGGAGATTGATCCAAATTTTTAAGACGAGAATGATGTAGATCGTGGACTGCAGAAAGGTCACTCAAGGATATTTAATTTGTTTAATTAAATACATAACTATATTTTAAAATTGCATTTTTTTTGTTCAGGTGAAAATTTAAATTAGTGTCACAATGTGTCGGAATGCATAAACAAAACCATAAAGCAAATTATTCGTACATTCCAGGTCGCTATCACGGGATGCGATAACCGAGGAGAAATGCAGCAAATCACTGCCCGAGAGCGAGAGGATGGGCGTCAGGAGGCTGACATTGGGGCAGCAGAGTCTGCCACGGGAGCCATTCATCAGACAAATGCCGATGACACCCAATCTGCTCACCAGCTCATCGTCAGATGATTCATCTGACGAAAATACCTGAGTACCCCGCCGTGGTGACCACGATAGGTTGCCACTGCTCAGATATAGGACATTGAAGTGAGACCGCACATATTGTCTAATTCGTGCTGTGAATATGTGGTCTAAATATAGTTTGAATTGTTTTTAAATGGTAGTTACGCAAATTAGTTGATCTGTATTTGAAGTTTTGTGATAAGAGTACTAGAATCTTAGAATTAATTACTTTAGGAGTTTAAATACTGTGTTATTTATGGTTGCAGATAGTTTTTTAATAGCTTAATTTTATTACTAAATTCTAATGCCTTAAAATTACTGATGAATAATTATGATTTGACAAAGATTTTGTTAAAACCTGAAAATTTTCTCTTCATTTACTATGAATCTTGTTCAAAACTTATTATTTAACCAATTCGGGAAATAAATCCAGTAAATTTCATACAAATATGTGATGTTCCTAAACAGATTCTTCAGTTAATTTTAGACTAATCAATAAAATGTGTGAAATAATGGATAAATTATTCCATTTTAATATTTACGCACACGTAGTTAATAGTATTTTAAGCGTAAGGAAAAAATAATAAAAAATAGCAAATGCTGTCTATAAGGAATGCTTCACAGCATTCGATGATAACAATATTTTCATAACCTTTAAATTTTGAATAGCAAATATTTTGCAAGAAGCATTGTCCAAAAAGCAATTAGAAACTTCGCTTTTATATTAAAACATCAATAACTATGGATAAAATCTACTCAAATTATTATAAGTGCGTATTTCAGCTACAATAACTTCATAGGTAAATTTCGGTCAATTCATTCATTGTTTTTATTAAACAATGATTATTAATTTGAGCTCAAATTGACTATCGTAATACAAATAACGGTACAGACGTAATTTGGGATATATTAAAAGTACAGTGATCATAAAACTACGATTTTGCTCATCGTACAGTCAGCAGTATTTTTGTATGATATTTGTATTAAATTAAGATTGTGTAGTTGTAAGTTGAAATGGTTGAATGTATTTAATATGTATTAATATATTTTTTAATTATGGTGGCACTAGTTGCCAATGACAATATGTAAAAATAATAATTAGAATATGCATATAACCTAATTTATGTAAAAATAAGCGAGACATAGTTTAATAAAAAAATTCAAATGTTGACAAGTGAACAATTAATCTCTTTTTATATTGAAAACATTATTCTCATTTCGGCTACAACGGGAATTGTTAAATTTATTTTTTCTGTCATTGGCAATTTGTTGTCACTCGTGTAAATGAATGAGCCAGTGAAAGCTTACGTTAAATAAAGCTTTAGAGCAAGTGTTCAAAAAAAAGTTATTGTCACTTGATAGCACTGTTTGTTAACTGTAGCCACAGCAAAATGTGAGGCATAATATAGTACAATAATAGATGTAAGTAGCGAAATACTAGCTGTCAATGTAAATAGCTTTACACTTGATCATTTATACGTTTTTCTCTTTTAACATTTGAGCTTTTTCTGCGGGTTTCCATTGCCAAAATCTATTTAGGATATACTGTTGTTATCTCTGTAGTTTGCTATCAGAATGAAAGAGATGAGAATATATTTTGTATTAGTATTTCGGCAAAGGAAACCTGCTGTATCCTTCTGTGTACTAAAAACATGTAGGGAAACGTAGATAGAGAAATATTAGATGAAAATTGCGTAAAGCTGAATTGAATAACCTCCTTAGTAAAAATGTTTGAAAATTTGATCTAGGCTATGATAGATTTTTTTAATTCATTTATTTTGTATTTTGGTAAAGAATTTGCGTTCCATGTTTTTTGAAAACTATAATAAAATTCTTATAATATGCGTATTAAAATCACGACAATTGTGATATTGTAAATAACTTTCCTTATTACAAAATTGGTGTAGAAACGCACTTGTTATAATGTAGGCAATTAAAAAGTAGACACCGATTGACAATAGTATAGTGTTTAAATTGATTTGTATTTCTACGTTATATTTTAATACCAATTATTAAATTAAGAGTTTTTGTAATCATTAATATAGTATAGATACCACGTATGATATTTGAAGAGATTGTGCAAAATTGTAAATCAAAAATTTGGCTGAAACATGTAAACGGTAAAATCGAAACAATCTTAAAATCCAATTGGCTTTATGCAGCTGCCTCAGAATAAAAATGTCATTTTGGTATTATAAAATAAGCACGAGTAGACTAATTCAATTTATTTTCAATACAAAAATTCTTTTTTTTTTCTTTTAATTTAACAGTGGATTCGTTAATCACATTTGTTAACTTTGACTTCGTAAGTCGACAGGTTTCTTTATTTTTTATGTTTTTGTATTTCAGTTCCTTGTTAGATGTAGAATCTGTTGAGTCCGTTTTAACTGGTAGCTTTAAAAGGTTTACAAAAGTTTAAACTGTAAGTAAATAAAATTGCATGTAACCGACAAGTTTTTATGAACAATGTTATGTCAATTGATACTAATAGTGCCTAGTCTATAATACTACTGCAGTTCATTGTTTTTTATTGTTATGGGTCTGGTATTGAAATTGTACTATAGTTGATTAAAAGATCCTGTAACTTCTTGAAAATAAAATATATTACATGCTAAGGGAGTCTTTATTTTAAGGTTTTTCAGAAAAGTAAATAAACAAAGTGAATGCACCAAGCATGGGTTTTTAGGTAAAGTCCTATTTCGACTCCTGTAATGGAGATAATGCACAGAGGTGTATTACACTTGAATTAAACACAGTAAGCGCTCCGATCGCCCCAAGACCCTACAAAATGACCCTTGGTTTATAATAAAATATCTAAATTATTATCAAGTTCATTAAATAAATATACTTTAATGTCTTCAAAAGCGTTTTAAAACGAAAAGTTTGTGACAGCTACAAAAGACGTCATGTGACAGCTATCTGACAGTGACAGAGGACTTGACTTTAACATGGTAGATGATGGTAGCTGTCAGTAGTTATCAGTAGTTATTGAAGAGTATAATCTGTGGTACTTGAGTAACTGTATTTTGTTCTGTTGCTTTTTCAATCTCCCGTATGCCTGATGTATTTTGTGATTTTCCTTCTGAATTATTATTTTTATCAAAGAAACGCAAAATGACACTATGTAATAAAATACTATGTTAAATGTGCCTAAATTCATCTATATGGATGATTGTATTATGTGTTGAATGTGACGCTAGTGAATATTATGTGTGATAAAGGTTACAAGACCAGAATGAAACATACTTGTGCTTTGTAGTTATTAATTATTGCGGTAAGTTTATTGAAAAAGTATAAAATATGAACATAAATGTGTAACGAGATGGAAAAACAACTTTTTATAAGTGCGAAGATTGTACACTTTTGATGAAAATTATAAAACCTGACTACTAAATCTGATGAGTTATGCATATAAAGTTGTTTTTTCACTTTGTTTACAAAAGGATCAATACACCGTGCATGTAACGTTTGAAATTAATTCGACATTAATATAACTTTTGGCGTCGATTGCTAGTTATCTAGTATGCTTTATGATTATCTTATCATTTCTTACTTATCAATAACTGCACTCAAGCTTTATTTATTCACAACTGAAAAATGTAGTTTAAACTTATAAATTATAAATATAAAAAAATATAAGATTAAGGTGAGTTTAGAAAATATATGTTATTACAAGCATAATATAAGCTATTGTATATTATTATATTTGTTCCTACTGGATTCAAATAAGAAATGGCAACAAGATTAATTTATTAGATAATACTATAATTTATATAAAATGTAATTTAAAAGTTTTCACATATTTAAACTTGTTATTATTAATGTTTAAATTAAGGGTAGTCAGATATAATGTCAGTTGACACTGGCCCAATCCGTTGTGGGAGAGCCATAAACAAGAAATAGATAGATATAATGTTAGCAAATACATTTTTTTAATTATAAATGGTGAATGAGTGTTTGGAACATGAAGGTATTCAATATTTATGTCTTTACAATAATAAATACTTTACAATCCATACATCTGAATTATATCATATAAACACAGGAATTTCAGAGTGCACCTAACTATAAGCTGGTTACCAAATTTTTTTTTTTAAATTATATACAGATAAAGTCATAGGACAAAGCTAGATTAGAATAAAGTTATCTTTTTCAAAAATGTTTTTCAAATGTTATAATAACATTCTAAGGTATTGTGTTTAAAAAATTAAAACATATGATCATAATGACCATTATCTCAAAAATCTAAAATGTTATTGTAAGGTTTTCAATTTAAAAGACCAATTGTGAGAATAGTGATAGTACTTGTTTTCAAAATTGAGATTGAATTAAAAAAGATATTTACAGAATTCAATGATTAAACAGTGGACAAAGGCAAATCTCAACTCTATCTTAGCCCTTTTAATTTTTTGTCTTTTATTGTGAAGTTACTTAAAAAAGCCTGACTTATTTTAAATAATAAGGTGTGATTAGATTCATATTCATACAGTGTTTTTATCAGTATTGTGGAAAAATGCTAATTTTACAGTGAGTTAGCTTTTTGTCTTTTTAAATTCTTGTTTTAAATCTTAGTCTATGTATTCTTATTACATTAGAAAGGAAAATTAAACTCAAAATGGTCTTATAGTTAGCATTGGATTAATAAAGGTTTATGTGAATTCTTACACTTTTATTATTTTTTTCTAGAAAAATGGAACATTCAGACTTAGTGGCGGAGATGGCACAGGTGGAGCACCTCACAACACAGGAGAGGCTTCATCTTGCTAGAAGGTAATGCTAATAATTGTAACTTGTTCCATTTGTTGTATCAAATTTTGAAATTCGACTAATCCTACTTCCTGTTGATAGATTTATCTGAAATTCGGAATATATCTTAAGTTAAGAGAAGTATACAGTATTTAAAAACATTTGGTATTTAAATTTTACCTAACATATTTAAACATTTTGAAGGTTTACATTATATTTTTTTTAAATATGTACCACTTCCCAAGTCAGTGAGTAATCTTTTTTAAAAGCAGTTTTAATATGTAGAACAGTTTGATTCAGTTGAAAATATAGAAATGTATATAAAAACAGCAGTCAACCTACACACGGTATTTAGTAACATTTTGTTTATTTCTAAAATCCCACTCGTACTAACATTTATGGCTTTTGATTTGTGTGGGTGCGATTCTAGATTGGCTAAATGAATCAGGTGTTATTCAAGTAAAGGCAAATAGTTTGGTAATATCTATACAGTTTATTCTACAATCTTAATAAACCTGTTTTATTTTAAGTCAACAATACTAAAATAAACATCCATCATTGATGGCTAAGTAGCTCATAGTAGAACATTTTTTATCTGATTATTTTCATGAAGTTGATGATGTTTTTAAACAAGTGTTGATGCAATGTAAATTCACGGTGCTTGCAAATATCAAAATTGAAAAATAAGGCTTTTTTGATTGACCGATGCAGAATGCTTCGTTACATTGAATAAACAGATAAGTAGAAAAATAGTTAGTTTACTTGTTGTATGTGTTAAATATTTTTCCATATATAAAGTTTTGTGAAAGAGAAACGAAATACGTAACAGAAATTTCACACTTCATTTAATTACATGTAACTGAATCTAGGTTAGATAGGCTTTGATATAAACAGGCTAAGGCCACTGTGAGGTCATAAGGAAGTAATGCAAACCGTCGCTAATGTCCACTTTGCAAGTTATATTGCTAGGAACAACACATATATTTGTAGTATATGGATAAATAAACGGAAGTAATCTGTAAATCATTATTTACGTAATGTTGAGGAAAAAAAGGCTAGTAAATTAAATTAAAACCATGCATACTTGTAAACCACTGTTATTAAACATAATTTTTAAATAACACTTATATTGAAACACTAGCTGTTGCTCGTGACTGCGAGCGACGTTAAACAATAATAAAAAAATAGCCTATGTTACTTACAGATAAACTACCTCTCTAATGTCGGAAGAATTTAAAAAATCGGCCCAGTAGTTTTTGCGTGAATCTAATTCATACAAAAATCCAAAAATACAAATCTTCCCTCTTTATAATATTAGTATATATAAATTAGTATAGATTACTATGTCAATAATTTGAGGATGTATGTATACTATGAATCATAATTTATGGAAGATTCGTAAAGTAAGTATAACTACGAACATGTTTTATTTCTCTTTTTAATCAAGATATTCGAAGCAGTATTAAGCGAATTATATTAAGACTGTACCTTATTTAAAGGCAGATGAATGATTCATATTTTAACACTTACGAATATTTGGGAATGTTAAGAAAAAGTTTAAACACACTTTCTCTCAATACGCTGCATTCCAATGTTGCATTCTCAATTCTGAATTGTTTTTTTTATTCTTACAACATTTTACGGAATACTAACACTGTGACATTTAAAGATCTTTGATAAACTCAAATATTTTCTATGTTGAATTTTTGGTTAAAGCTGAAATATAGTTGGGTAACTAAAATGATTCACTTCCCCGAGATATTGATTAGTAGGTGTCATTTATGTTAAAAACAATTCGTTTTTCTTTTGTTTAAGTGTCCAATTTACTAAGATTATTCGAAGCCGGTAATTTCTCCGTTTCTACTAGGTATTGTTTTATTTCTAAACTAATTGGTCACGGTCTCTGAAATGTAATAATTAAAAAACAAACTCGTTTATCTATTGTTTTAGTCCGTGCTATATCTTAAGATGCAATGTAAGTACTCAGACTATTTTTAATATTATCTTTAACTAACTTTTGCCCGCGAATCCGTCCTTGTGGAATTAAAAAACACAAAAGTGAGTAGCCTATGTGTTCTTCCAGACTATCCTCTACATCAATGCCAAATTTCATCCAAATCCCTTCAGCTGTTTAGGCTACAAACTCTAACAAACATCCATCCATCTAAACTTTCGCATCATATTAGTAAGAACGATGGTAGACTAGTTGTGTCGAAAGTAACTTTTATAGAGAGAAAATACCAACATGACCGAGTTTTTATGCTACTAGTGTGTTTTACTTCAGTCAATATCGTTTGTGGTCGAATAGATAAAATCTAGTAGGCGATTCTTATCAACTTATCGTGATAAGTATGGTGTTATTGATGGCTTGAAGTTGAAATGTTTTTCATATAAGATTATGAAGGTTTTAAATCTATCTTAGTCTTAGTAATATTATAAATGTGAAAGGATGGATAGATGTTTGTTAGTGTCTGTAGACATAACGACTGAACGGATCTAGATTAAATTTGGCACAGATGGCATAGTCTGGAAGAACTCATAGGCAACTTACTAAGATATTTTTTATTATTACGCGCGGATTGGGTCACGGGCATAAGCTAGTAATCATACTACCACACACATTATAATAACAGATCGGTGTTTTCTCATTGAAGATTCAATTTTTATGACAATAACACTTTTGAAGATGTTTCCGTTAGTAAATCTTTAATTGGTCTCAGTTTCTAGGTTAAATATTCGTCATAATCGATATGTATAACCGATGATATATCGATTTTTACTATAGTAAAAAGTTTATTTCAATCAATGCACGATCGATCAGCATGTTGTGTGACATTTGTTGGTTTATGATAAAAATAGACTGATTTTATTGAATCTGAATTAATATGTCACGATAAGATTTTTATGTGTTAAACAACATGTGTTAACCGTTAGTTCTATCTTTGTATATCTACGTGTATGTAGTTTTTGAATTAACACGTTCAAAGTAAATGGCATGGAGACAGCAATATTTGATATATTTATTATATTGAATATTTTAAAATAGAATTTAAAATGATAAATAGCTAAAGTAAATAAAATACCGAGAACATGTGCGATATCTTTAAGAAGTCTTCGTTTTATAATCTCTTTACTAGTTTATATATATTTTCAGGTTATGTTATGCCATAAAAAAAAGTTACGAAATTATTAAGTCTCTCCTTATATTGTCCATGCCTTTTGTTTATGTCGCATTGATTTATTTCAAAAGCGGATTACTAACAATCTATAAGGTATCATCTCTTTTTATTGAGTACAATAAATTCAATTTAACAAACTGTATACGTTTCACTTTTTACATCAATAAGCAGTCAAACGACTATATAGGTAATAAATGTCGATATGATCTTCGCAGCGTGTTTTTTTTTACACAACTCCATACTTCCAAATCAACATGTATCTGTTACTTTTAAATAAATTTAAAATTGAAATGTTAAAAGCAACAAAGAGATATAAAACAATAGCGATCGTCTTTAATTTGTATGGGTGTGCGAATTGTAGGTGAATGGAATTGTATGAAACACTCTCGTGGCTTCGTAGCCGATTGTGCATGCCTGATAAGAACAATTACTTTCATTCAAACCAATCGTGATTTAAATGAAATCATGTACAGCGTGTTTTATAATTCAAATATGAATAGCAGGTAAAACCTTGACTGCTTTTAATGGATTTATATTTGTAAAATTTTGACCTAGTTTTGGATGGTTGTCTAAGTGATAGAGCTTTAAAAAATAGACTTTTTATATAAAATGGTCGTGTTTAAGAGATATCAGTTAAGGTAAAAATGTTTTCGACGGTAATAGATTCCACGAGTAATATTTTACTTTGAATAAAAAATACAAATCGTAGTTACAAAATGTTAAAGTTCAATGGTCAATTGTTTTACGTTTCATGTTGTAGGCTTTTAAACATCCTGTATTTTTCTGCATAGATTTACATAATATTACAAACTAACGGGTCTCTATAAAATTAAGATTCAAGTTTATCATACTAACATTAATGTTTGTATAGAAATTTCATTAGCTTTAGACCTTGGATTGGTTTCGAATGTGCAACACTTGTGGGCGTCAGATTCCTTCTTTGGATTAATACGTATAAAAATTACACGCTTTTAGTCCTGTGGGTTGAAACATGTTATCGCTCGTTAAATCTATAACATGATGAAATTGTGGTCATAAAAGAAACACATGGATTAATTAATGACTATAATCTATTCCATATTCAGTATTTTTTGACTATTCGTTATAAGTTGCTATAAGGTTTGAATATAACACAATATTTAACACGTTGAGTGCTTCCGGCACAACTTGTGAGTACATTTTGACACATGAAATTCATAGGCGTTGAAAGTGTTATCTTTTTCGAGATCAGGCTAACTTTATAACTGTTAGTTTTGATTGCCACTAGTAATGGCTTAATATTGTCTCTGTTTTTTTTATAGAAGAATGTAAGGAAAGGCAATATATGTGCAGACATATATTGCCTTTCCTTACATTAGTGGCAACACTGTTGAAACATAAATCTTAAGCAAATCATTTGATAAATGCGATAGAGTTAAACATTTCGCTGACATTGAACACTCGTCGATGCTTGTTGGTAAAAAAAGTCACTTAAATATAAAGTACATTCGCGTCTGGATTTTACACTGAATCACGGAAGAAGTTATATAACCGCGGCGTTAATACTCTTTGAGTACATTTGAATAAAAGATAATAAACTTGAAATTAGTACCTATAGTAAACGGCATTTTAACTGACACGTCGGAAACAATAATCCTCTTGCCGATTTTTTAAAACAAATGCTGTATACTAAAACATCTAGGTACTAATATAATGCTACTTGATTTTTTACATCTTTATTGATGATACTCTTGTTATCGTTTTGAGGTTAAAGTAAAAATGGTTTAATTCTGACGATTTTATAAGATATTCGGAAAAACATTGTCCGGTCTCGGTATGCGATAGCCAGTGTAGTCAACACAATGA